ATTAGAAATTAGAGAAATTCAAGTTGAACTAAGGCAAATGCATTTTTAGATAAAGTTTTAAAATAGACAATAATTTATTAAAGCTGGATGTGATCGTCTGCATTTCTGCTCAATACTAAACACGGTATTGATAATAAAATAAGAACCAATTTGGTCATGTGGTGGCTAATATTAGCCACTGTCTCAGTCATAAGTAAATTGAAGGCATTTGACTGAATATTTCATTCACATCCTATGATTACAAGGAAAGTGTAAAGGTTCAATAGTCTGTTGAATTCTCCGTGACCAGGAAACCCCTCCATGTCAAGTGCTCAACTGTCTTTTTACTCCTGCGGTGTCCTTTTGTTTCCATGCCCACAGACCGTGTAAGGGTTTTCCCTTGAAGTCTTCAAATTTGGATCTCTGATTTAAAATCCCTGAGTGAAGTAGTAGTGTTGTTTTGAAGTGTCACTGACCTCCCATATACCTTGGTCCATTTCCTTCTTCCAAGGATGGCGTAAGGCAGACTATACCCTTATTTTTCTCATTAGGCCTTCACTCTTTGCATCCTTGACTGGTAGAAGCCTGGCATTTGGAAATGAACCTTTAGTAACTCTAGTTTTCCAAATTTTTAAATGATGTGACGCTGGGGGAAAATGGGTTTAGATTTATGGTTTAAAGCCTGCCAGGGAATTGGTAAACATTTCTGAGGACCACCGGCCTCTCAGTGAGTTGATCAAACCCAGTATGAAATTGAGGATGCTCATGTAATCATTCTTTTGTACAATTTAGCATTCAGTTTGACAAAAAATCAGTCAGTATTTATTAAACTGCTGCTATGAGATACAAAAGTTAACTGGATAAGATCTGTACCCTCAAAGAGGTGATAGTCTAGTAGGGGAAAAACAGGTAACACTAAAGTCTAAGACTGGATAACACCTGGGAACGTGGAGATGCTGTAAGAAGGCCCTCATTGCCTAGTGCTGAAGAAGGTTCCCAGACGATGTGCCAGTGGAATGGGGTTCTGGAAGAGGAGTAAGAATCTGTCACCATTAGAAAGGCTTGACTGATTTAAATATTGAGAGGAGGAACAGAGAAGGATAAGAAATGAAAATTTTAAATGTAAACAAAGTGAGGAGACAAAGGCCCTACAAACTAATGAAATGGGTCATTTTAATTCAGATATGATAATCTGATTGATCCAAATTGCAGTCATTCTAACTTAATTATTCGAAAATGGCAACATTTTGTGCTCGCTTCGGCAGCACATATACTAAAAATGGCAACATTTTGACTCACCTTTTACTATTTTTATAACATCAATATACTCTGTACTCAAAGGGTGAAATGAGGTAAGTTCATAAAGCATTTTCAAACTGAAGGAAGTAATTCTAAGAGAAAGTCAATAAGTCATATCCTACCACTGAATAAAGAGAGAATAAATGGCATACAGTTTGGAAGCAAAGCTGAGGGGAAATCTTTGGGGGATTTGTTCAGTTTGCAATTGTCTTTTATGACCTAAAAGATTTACTTATTCTCTAGTCACCATAGGAAAACCATAAATTTGTTTGAAAATGAGGAGGGGGCCATGTGAAAAGTTATTCCTATCTATACAAATAAAAATAAAATGAGACTTAGTCTGGCTAAAATAATGATTCCCAAACTCATCCAACTGAAGACACAATTCAAAATTGGAATGTTTGAGATAGATATTTTTATATCCTCAGTTTCTGCAAAGTCACCGTCCCATTTGGTAGGGACAGTGATCTTTATTGATTTTATTGATCCCTTCTTATATGAAAACATTCTATTTGAAGTTGTGAAGGATATAAGTATGAGTAAGACCTAGTCTCTGACCTCAGAGCTTATAAGAAAAGGTTTCATGATATTTCTTGTTTCATCTTCCATATCTCCATCAAAACCAAAAAACTTTCAGTTCCCAAAATTAGCTTTCCATGATCTCTGAAATCTGACCCTTCATCTTTTTCACCCCAGAGACCTGCCACCATCCCCCACGCCAACCCCAGCATTTCCCAACAGACTGTGTGAAAAACATGGACTCAGAAAGTAGTTTGCTATTTCGCCTTTGATTTGTAACTATGTAAGAAAGCCACAGAAACAGCTCAGTTATGGGAATTGGGCAGACCTAACAACTCCCTCAGCCTGGGAGTGACGTGTGCTGGGAAACTAGACAGTAGGTGTGGAAGAGATGCAGGCCTTATGAGGCAGAGAAGCCGTGCCTCAGTCCTGGGCTCCCAAGGGTCTCTCTGAACAACCTTCTCTTTAGTATGTCTTCCTGTGCTGAGAAAATCTGAGAATGCTACATGTGCTTTCTCCAGAAAATAAGTCTGAAGTTTCATGAAGAGAGAGGCTCCAAAGAAATCCTATTACCTTTGACAGACAGACTTACCTAAAAGGACAAGGCCTCTCAATTAACTGTGCCTTTTCCTGTTTTTCCATTTAGTTGTCTCTGTCGACAAGGGCCCTTCTAGAAATCTTTTATCAAATTCAGACTATAATTTTTTAGTGTTTACAACTAAAAGTATCTGTAGAGATCTAACACCCTGGTCTTCTAAAACTATACCTAATTTAGGCCAGTTCCACATATCTACTCATAGAGCTGTGATATAGGAATAAATTATTAGTCCCTGTTTTTACAAAGGAATTTAAGTATATCCAAAATGAAGAAACAAATAAAGAAAATAAGACTTAATTTTCATTTTATGCTTCTCTCAAAATATTGCCTTACAAATCTGGAGATTTTTTAGGCACATCTTTTTCTTAGAACAAGTAGAAAACTAGATGGCTATGCCCATTTTAAGAAAGGCTAATCTAAAAGCTCCTGAAAAACTAAGACAGTTAATTTAGGAATTAACCACTTGCATATCATGAATATAGTTCTTCCCTTAACCGTGGAAACAGGACCTAAGGAAGTCTGGATTCTAAGAGATGCAAGATAACTGAAAGTAAATAATTGGCTGCCACTAATTAACTAGAGACCAACCAAAAATCGCACTGAAGGATTTCTGAAATTAGAGAACAAGCCAGTGGGAAAAGACAACTGAATTGATAGAAATCTATTTTATGTATAGATTTTCAGAAATATATCTACTGGATACCTGTACAGTTAATATAAGTATTTCCTACTCTCCCCAAATAATGCTTGTCATGCACCACAAAAGCATCCCAAGGAAATGTAAGGAAGGATATGTGCCCATAGATGACTTCAGCTTTTTAAGAGAGAGGAGAGGAGAACATTTATCCACATACATACAGATCTGTGTGTGTGCACTTAATCACATAGCGCTGACTGCCCACCCCAACCAGAATGTGTCACCTCAATGTCTGAGGCCACTCTTCCAGGTCTCAGTAATGTTTTGTCCATGTGGAGAGTAGGAACTGTCATGCGAGAGGTGTCATTTTCTACCTATTGAAATTTAGAGAATAATTCTAAAACAGTTCTAGGAGGAAAAAAAAAAGACTTGAGCTTTAAAAACTGAAGTTGGCTGCATCAAAAATATGTTGACAGTGCTAAAAGGCTCATTCCCCATCCCTTGGTATTTTTTTTCTTTCTTGGCCCTCCCTATTTATTTATTTATTTATTATTTATTTATTTATTTATTTATTTATTTATTGGTAGGCTTGCTATTCTCATTTTGTTGCAAGGCTGCATTGTAATTCATCTGATTCTGCAGTTTAACAAAGCCCTTTGATACCTGTGTTCATTTGTTCTCAGCTGGTGAATGAGCAGCAAGAAAGCAGACCCCTCTTGAGTCCCTCCATCGATGACTTTCTCTGTGAAACCAAATCGGAGGCAATAGCAAGGCCAGTAACGTCCAACACAGCCGGTAATTCTTTCACTTTTAACTGATCCTCAAGTAGAGCTAATTTTCACTACAGTGAAATGCATATTTTCTCTCTGTAATGCGTCTGAAGTGGAGAATAATGTTTGCAACCGAACGAAAGTTGAGGACATACACTATTCCACATAGACTAATACATCACTTTGTATTCCACAAGAACGCGCAATGTATTTTACCCAACCAACTTGGCTGAACAGTAGCACACCACTATCAGCAATGAATCATTTCTCCATGCATATTTACACCTTTGCATCTCAAGTCACATTACAAGGAATCTTTCAAACAAAAGCATCTATTTCAGAGTAAGGTTTTTCAAAGTTCTGGCTGAAAATACTCTGTCTGACCAAAGACCAATAAAATAAAAATGTAGGCAGCCCCTTTGAGTGGATTGAAATGACAAAATTAAAAGTCTTAGAGATTGGAAATGTTATAGAGCCAATTTCATTTTTCTGTCACGTAAATGTGTTACTTGTTTCCTCTTAAGACAATTTATTTGATTGGGTGCCTGGCTGGCTCAGTCGGTTAAGCATCTGCCTTAGGCTCAGGTCATGGTCCCAGGGTCCTGGGATCAAGCCCCGCATTGGGCTCTGTGCTCAGCAGGGAGCCTGCTTCTCCCTCTCCCACTGCCTGCCTGTCTGCCTACTTGTGCTCTCTCTCTTCCTCTGTCAAATAAATAAATAAAATCTTAAAAAAAAAAAAAAGACAATTTATTTGAACGTTCTTCTGGAATTAAACCTACCCAAACAATGAACTCTCATCTGTATAGGCATGTACCTGTAGGCACCAGTAAGTATTCATCCAGTGAGTGAATGCAGGATGCCACTGGGATGAATCATACCTCCCCTAGTCCCCTCTGCATTTTCCAGTTCTCACTGATGCTAAAACTAAGTCACTTAGTTAGGGTTCACCCTGACGGAGCTACATAAGATCTGACGCAAACACTACTTTTCACCTTCTGTATCAGAGGCAGCCTTTCTGCATTGATTCTGTTCAGTCAGCTTTCACATTCAAAGGCATGTTGTTCAAATAAGGATGAAAAAATGATGTTTGGAGTCAAAGAACAAAGGTTATGTTGGATTGCAGGAGAGGGTTTAATGGAGAAAGGAGAGAACAATTATGTACTGTCTTGTTCAGTGCTTTCCATTTCCCTATCATGTCCTCGGCTTGCTGTTGCCTGCTATATTTTCATTATACTTTTAAGTAAGTGAAGAAAATTGTGGGGGGGTGCGCGGGGAAGGAAATTGTAATTTTTTCTTAAATGCTAAAAATTACAACAGCAAAAGTAACTAACACAAGATAGAGGCAGTTAATGCAGGAGTGTGGTCTACGGTCTCTGGTGTCAAACTTGGCAACGTCAAGCCCCAGCTGTGCCACTTAGTGGCTCTTGTCCTTGGGCAAGTTGCTTAACTAAGTCTGTTTCCTCATCTATAATAACAACATCTATATCTCATGGGTTACTTGGGAAGATGAAATGAAGCAATCTATGTAAGCTCTAACAGATGTTACCATTACTGTTAGATATCAGGTTAGAAAAACAGTATACTCAACACTTCCCTTTTCAGATGCATTAACTTTCTTTCTACCACACAAAAGCAATCATTTCCTAACTTCAACTATCACTTTGAGCGATCAAGCAAATAAAATTGTTTTGGTACATTTAAGCAGGAAATTAACCAAGTTCAGATCCTACCAGATCAGATTTATCCCCCTTATCTATGAAACTGAAGTTCACCCCTCCAAAACTGGAGAGCTACCCTTAGAAAAATACAGAGGAGAATTGTGTCTCTAATTTCAGGAAAATCCATGAGAATTGGATACACGGAGAAGTTCCCACTGTTCAAAAAAAAAAGTTGCAAAGCGTAGAATTCTCAGATCTTGATTCCAGTACCTTCTGCACTTTCCAACTCCCACTGATGCTAAAACTAAGTCATTTAGGAAGGGCCCACCAGAGAGAGCAACATGATATTTGATTTAAAAGTCACTTTTCACCTTGATTTTTCTAACATATAAAAGAGACTTACAAAATATTGGAGGAAAAAACTCAAAAGAATATGTAATTTTTTTATGATCGCAATACTACAGAATTGCCTTCTGTATTCATTTTCTAGGCTTTCGTGACAAAATACCACAAACTGAGTGGATTATACAACAGAAATTTATTGTCTTACAATTCTGGAAGCTAGAAGGCCAAAATTAAGGTGTCAGCAGGGCCATTCTCTCTCTGAAGGTGCTCAGGAAGAAACTGTCCTAGGCCTCTTTCCTAGTTTCTGATAGTCCCTTGGCTTGTGGCAACATGACTCTAATCTTCATATGACATTCTCCCTGTGTGCATGTCTTCCTGTGTGTGTCTGCCTCTTTATCCAAATTTCCCTTTTTCATAAGGACACCCGCCATATTGGATTAGGCGCCTACTCCAATATGACTCATCTTAACTAATTCTATTTCCAACAGCCCTATTTCTAAATAAAGTCACATCCCAAGGTACTAGAGGGTTAGGACTTCAACATATGAATTTGAGGGGGGGACACAGTTCAGTCCACAACACCCTCCAAAGCAGAGGTTCAAGAAAAATAGTATTTTGAGACTGTCCTCAGCACTCAGTACATCTGGGTCACACAGATTTTTATCCTGAAGAAATACTCTTGTTTGATAGTGTTTTTTAATCTTAAAAGTATATCTCAAGGCACAAACACTATATATTTTTAATACCTGAGAAATATACTTTTTAAAAAATATTGCAGAACCCACTACTTGGTATCTCAATATGCAACATTTTTATACATCTTTAAACAGGAAAAATTTTATCATACCTATACCTTGGAAAGAATTCCAATCTGGTCCAATAATTTTATACTTAGGTTTCTGGGCAAAAGATATAGTTATCATTTTCTGTCCAAATTTTTAATTAAAAAAATAGTAATTTTAAATAGAGCATTGTCATTTTATAGAATAGTATGAAATTACATTGAGAAATCAGGACAGTCATTGAACTTTAAGTGTCTGTTACATCCCAGGTATTATTTATATCTTTACACTTACAGAATGGATATTAAACAATCTTGGAGTAAAATATGGAAGAAAACCTGCTTCAAGGTTGTACCAGATCAATCAAGAAGAAATTTGAAGAACCTTATGTTAAGAGAGGCATTTATACTTGGCATTTTCTTCTAATGAAAAAATAAAGCTAGTGTGCCACCATCATAACATTTGCTTAAATATTTAAGGAATATAGCTCTTATATATATTAGCACAGGATGCAATATAGATAATATTTATCTCTTCCAAATGTCACTCAGATGATAGGGTTTTTTTCCTCTACTGACTTTAAGAGAACATATTAATCTTCTGTCTCATAGAAGTTCTAAATTATAATCTTTTTCTTAAGTATTTTAATTATCTTTTTTACTTTCTGCTCATTTCTACTTTAGGATTAACTTTTTGTCATTCCATAGTGATAATATCAAGCAGATCAAATAAGGATATTTTTAATTTCTTTGCCATTAACACCCTAAATTATCTTTTAATTCATCTGTAATCTAGATGATAGCTAATTCCTTGGCCCTCTCAAACTGTATACCTAGATGGTAGGTAGGCTAATATCATTGCTAATATCCTTGATTTTAAAATGACAAATAAATATATATTATCACAGATGCATATATCAAATGCTCAGAACATAACTAGACAATGGATGTTTTAAGATCATGATTACATTATAGGACAACTATTTACTATAAAACTATTTACTATAAAATTTGCAATAATAACTTGTTGGTCTGTAATCTCCCAAAAAATCTAACATATGTCAAAGTACAGGAAAGATTCTTTCCTAAAGACCAAGTAGAACAGGAGGTCTTTGGTTTGCATTTATCAATCTGAATTATCTAAAAGAATTTTATCCCTCAACTTGAGCCATTAGGTAGATAGTTATTATAGAAGAAACATTTTTCATGGTTTAAAAAAATAATAATTTCACTCCTTGATATGTGACCCATATACCTCTATAAGAGACCCATATATGGATGGGAAGAGCTACCCTTAACAAAGTTCACACTCCTGTCACAGCCACCTAATTATTTTAATTGCAAAATTAGTGTAATATTTACAAAATACATTTTTATGAAGTCCAAGTAGCAGTGAAGCCAATGGCATGCTTCTTGAGAGAACTTAGAAATTAGGAAGTAGCTTGCTTGAGTCACCTGGGTGGCTCAGTCGGTTAAGCATCCGCCTTCTGCTCAGGTCATGATCCTAGGGTCCTGGGATCAAGCCCCGCATCAGGCTCCCTGCTCAGTGGGCAGCCTGCTTCTCTCTCTCCTTCTGCTGCTCCCCTTGCTCTCTCTTTGTCAAATGAATAAATAAAATCTTTAAAATCTTAAAAAAAAAAAAAAAAGAAATTTGGGAAGTAGCTTTAATTACATAACTCAATAAAATAAGCAAAAATTCGTTGAATTATTTAAGTCCAATGTTCGACATCACTAGCAAAATCCTTCCTAAGGGAATTTGCTTTGTAGCCACTATATTGAATACCAGGTTTCTAGAATGCCAGGGTAGCTTACAAAACAGAACAGAGATCCCATCAGCTCCTTGTGGCACATTCTGTGACTGCACCAGTCAGAGCTGTCCCTTGATCTGTCCTCTCTAACCACTCTATGTACATTTATTCCTTAAAAGAAATTCACTAAAAATCTGAGGCTCATTATATTATAGTGGTGTGAATAGCATTGTACTTATCACCAAAGCATCAAATCAGAGCTTCATAATAGGTGCTATTTTATTTTAACTGTTCTAAGCAGCCTCACCTTCTACAGTCCAAGTAATCTAACATTTGTAAACATCTTCGGCACCCCATAGGAGCCTTCCAGTTCAATAGGTGATCTTCAGTCAGGTTTCGTTTAGATAAATGGAAACAAATACTTACATAGTATCTTGCAGCTTCCATCTTCAGGAAGTTCCACCAATGAAATTAGGTGACCCCCCCAAAAAAAAGTTTCTGAGATTATCAACTATTTAAATTATGCCTCAGACTACCCAAACTGCCAGATGATTGGGAGCTAAACAAAAAATAATCAAAGGCATATCAAAGGAGTTCAGCACATTGCGTCCAGGTTCAGATAAAGTCTAGCGAAGAGTGGTGACAAACGCATGCTTGGGAGTGATAGGGCCTGTGTTTGCATCCTGGCATGGACACTGCCCTACAAACTATGTTAGTGTCCTACTGCTGCTGTAGCAAATTACTGCAAGTTTAGTGGCTTAAGACAGCACAAATTTATCATCCTACAATTCTGGAAGTCACCAGTCCTAAAGTCAAGGTGTCAGCAGAGCCACACTCCTTCTGGAGACTCTAAAGGAGAATTTGTGTCCCTGCCTTTTCCAGCTTCCGGGAGTACCTGCAATTCCTTGGCTTGTGTCCCTTCCGCCCATCCCATCTCTAAAGCCAGCAACATAGCTTCTTCAAGCCTGTCCCTCTGTCTCTCTCTCTCTTTCTCTCTTTCTTTCTCTCTCTCTCTCGCTCTCACACACACACACACACACACACACATGCACATACACACATACACACATTTTCCCATCCACTGTAAGAAGTGGTTATCACAATGTAGACACAGATTCCAGAACCCAAACTTTCATGTGCTTAAGAGAATCTTTAAAACTGGGTTAAGAAGATCAGCAGAGCAAATACCCCCTTCCATGCCAAGATATGCCCCCTTCAAAGTCCATATGGAAGAGTGAGACCCTTTATTTCTAAGTCTTAACTAAAGTGCATATGCATACAATACACACACACACACACTTGCTAAAATGCAATTTGTCTTTCTCCAGAAAGTAAAAGGCTGCACCCATCCTTCTATGCTTTCGAAATTGTGGTCCCTAAGGACTCTCTCAGCTTCAAAGCTTACCATTCAAACTCCAAGCCACCCCCTTCATCAACGGGGGACAAATAGGGCTTTTTGTGTGTGCCAAGCATTTGTTTCACATTTGCTGGGCAAAGAACAAAGGAACAGAGAGCTCAGAACCAACACAGGAAGTGCCCAGGCCAGTTTGGAGAGGCAAAGAATGTTGCTGAGCCAGGTTTGAATTTGCATTTCACTCTTTTAGTAATTCATTTATTCTGAATGGTGAGAAGCAGATATAGAATTAAATTAATACTCACCACTTACTATTCTGTAACAAATGTACTTCCTATATATGAGTAGACAAGTCCTATATAATTTGCTTCTAAAAGAAGTATAGGAGGGGCGCCTGGGTGGCTCAGTTGGTTAAGCAACTGCCTTCGGCTCAGGTCATGATCCTGGAGTCCCAGGATCAAGTCCCGCATCGGGCTCCCTGCTCAGCAGGGAGTCTGCTTCTCCCTCTCCCTCTCCCCCCTCTTGTGCTCTGTCTCTAAAATAAATAAATAAAAATCTTTAAAAAAAAAAAAAAAGAAAGAAAGAAAGAAGTATAGGAGCAAGTGACTAATTCCTAATTGTTTGTACAATTAGTAAAAAGACATATATGGCATTCCAGAGACTGTTACCCATTTCCTTCCTTCTATTATAAGGAAATCTTGGTGGGCCTAGAATCTCTGCCAACATAATAGTGGCCTGGAAATTTCTGTTTAAACATTCAAAGAATATGAAATGTGTTACATCCTAGCCTTTTTTGGCTGCTTGCCATGCTTAAATTTTAGACACCAAGTCAGGAAGCTTAGCTCTAAAAGCCACTTCTTTCTCCCCACTTTGAGGTGCTTGCTGGCCACAAAACACTGCTCATATCTCAGAGCATCTTTGCCCTGGAAAGTGGCTCCCATCTCCTCAGGAAGACTCAGATGAGATAAGCTGATACTTTCAGGCCATTTTCTGATACATTTACTTCATAGCATCCTCTGTAGACCAATACCTTTGTCTCATTCTCTGTTTTATTCCCAGTGGTGTTTCTCCTTTCTGTCAATGCAAGGGTCTGCTTCTTGCCCAAAATAGAAAAAAAAAAAAAAAAGCAGGGAGAATAGGAGGAGATCAACAAAAAAGAAAGAAAAGCATCACAAATTGGCCACCAAAGAATTTATTGAGTACCTATTGTATGCCTAGCACTTTACACACTCAATATACAAATTAGATAAGTTCATCTTCATATCATACCTAAACAATTTAACCTGCATTTTTCAGAGGACGAAACTGAAACTCAGTGAAGTCAAGAAACTTACTCAGAGTCACACAGCTAAGCAGTGGTAGAGCTAGGTCTTTCCACTTCACCATTAACATCCAACCACTGTGATTTGTAATTGAAATCAGAAAACAAGATTATTGAGAATACAGCCTGACAAACTATCCTAAGGATCCTGTAGGGGTGGTTAGCTCATGAGGACAGTGTGGTAATAAAGAAATCCAGGTTGTGAGCTCCACTGAGCCCTGACCCCACCTTGAGTTTAAGCAGGAAGCATATGGAAAGAGTGCTGAGATATCAACAAAAATCCATTCCTTACCAAGAGGACAAGCCGAGAGGTCAGAGAGAAGGAATGGTGCAGTCATAGTTGTAGACGGTGCCAGAAAGAGTTAACACCAGGATTTCTCTGTCACTTTGTTGACTTTCCTAAACTATCTGGGTGAACAGATCCCAGGCCAGGAAGCCACCAGGCCAATCCAGAAGCCAGCTCTCAGGTGCTTGAGCTGGTGGAGAGGCAGGGCTGAAGGGACCTTCCCTGATTGAAATTTTCCATTTCTTACGATGAGCTAGTCACACCCTGGTGACTTGCACTGTAAGAGAAAGAAAGATGAAGAGTTACAAAGCTTGCCTTTTGCATTCTCCTTTGCCTACTTTACATCTGAACAAATTATTTCTGCCTTCATTAGAGTATTTAATACAATGTAATCAACCTGCTAGGAAGTTAAAGTGTAGCCATTTTATGGTTTGTTTAAATTTGCATATTAAGCAGCAAAGGCATTAACATGTGTACCTCTTCATCAGCTATGGATTGTAAAATATTCCTCTGGTGTGAGCCCAAATAGCAAGCCATTTTCTGATTGAACTGCTTAATTAAATAAAAGATGATTAGCAGCATTCCTTTATATCCTGTATACTTTAGTAGTTCGAAATTTAAAACACAAAGACATTAGAAACTTTTCCAAATCTTCCTCATAACTGTTTTGCAAACATATTTCTGAATACGGTAGACTCTTCTCTGGAAAAACTGTGCTGTAAAATATATCTCTCTATAAATAAGGCAAAGCAATAAAGTAAATAGTACCTGAATTCATATTCGATTTTATTATTTTAATTTTACTTAAACTTTCATCACTGGTGAGGCTGGTCTAAGTCTTATTTTGTGTACTGTGCCAAAATAAAGGAAAACAGATAGCAAACTTTTTAGTCTAAATGCAGACCATCTTTAGAAATCAATGGTGAGCTAACTTAATTTGATACTTCTGTTTTTCATTAGTTTTTGATGTAGTGTTCCATGATTCATTATTTGCGTATAACACCCAGTGCTCATCGCAATAAGTGCCCTCCTTAATACCCATCACTGGGCTAGCCCATCCCCCACCCCCTTCCCTCTGAAACCCTCAGTTTGTTTCCCAGGGTCTGTAGTCTCTCATGGTTTGTCTCCCCCTCTGATTTCCTCACCTTCATTTTTCCCTTCCTTCTCCTAATGTCCTCCATGCTATTTCTTATGTTCCACATATGAGTGAAACCATATGATAATGGTCTTTCTCTGCTTGACTTATTTCACTTAGCATAATCCCCTCCAGTTCCATCCATGTCAGTATAAATGGTGGGTATTCATCCTTTCTGATGGCTGAGTAATATTCCATTGTATATATGGACCACATCTTCTTTACCCATTCGAAATGGGCAGAAGACATGAACAGACACTTCTCCAAAGAAGACATATGAATGGCTAATAGACACATGAAAAAATGTTCAACATCATTAGCCATCAGGGAAATTTCAAATCAAAACCACACTGAGATACCACCTAACAACAGTTAGAATGGCAAAAATTAACAAGGCAGGAAACAACAAATGTTGGAGAGGATGTGGAGAAAGGGGAACCCCCTTACACTGTTGGTGGGAATGCAAGTTGGTACAGCCACTTTGGAAAACAGTATGGAGGAGATTCCTCAAAAAGTTAAAAATAGAGCTACCCTATGACCCAGCAATTGCACTACTGGGTATTTACCCCAAAGATACAGAGGTAGTAAAAAGAAGGGGCACATGCCCCCCAATGTTCATAGCAGCAATGTCCACAATAGCCAAACTGTGGAAGGAGCTGAGATGCCTTTCAACAGACAAATGGGTAATTTGATACTTCTAACCTACACTACAACCACAAAATCCTTCAGCACCCAACTGAAACTTATTTTGAAAAAATAACTTCAGAGCAGTGAGTGAGTTTATCTTAACCTTTTCCATCTCTGATAGTATTGACCACAGGCTTAGATCTCCTTGACCTGAGTGAACCCGTCTCTCAAACCCAAACCAAAGTCAAGAAGTTGGAGGCCTCATCAAAAACCTCATCCCTCAAGAAAAAGGCTGATGGATCTGATCTTATCAGTGCAGATGCTGAGCAGAGAGGCCAGCCTCTCCGAGGCCCAGAGACATCATCCTTAGATTTAGGTAAGGTAATAGCATGTGTCAGCTGCTGCTGGCCCTTGCCTTAATACAAGGAAGTTCCACAAATGACATGAAAACCATGAGCAAAGGAGTAGAAAATACTAATTCCATGAAGGAATATGGGCAGCACACATTCTTTTGTGCTTGAATTAAATAGCATTTGGGGAGCTCAGTTTTGTATAACTGATGTGGGTCCATTCATTTATTTATTCAACCTACCTGTGTTGAATTCTTGACAGATGGCAGGTGCCCTATGAGGCATTGGAGTTACAAGTAAGAATGAGACATGCATCTTGCTCTCTTGGAGCATTTAGTCTAGAGTGGGAGATAGCCAGTCAAGAGACAGAAAAAGAAAGAGGGAGAGAACAGCTTTAACACAAGGTCCAGGAACAGCCAGCCAGAACATGTAACATGCATGGGGATATATCTGATATAATAATAACAGCTACCATTTATTGATGGTTTATCGCGTCCAGGACTATGCTACATGATTCACATGCATCAGCCCATTAATTCATCGAAAACTTAAAATTTAAATAACTTGCCCAAGATCTCAGTTAGTATGAGGAAGACCTAGAATCTGAGCATGTTCTGATTAACTTCCAAAAGCCCATACTTTTATTTACTATACATCTTCCTGAGAAAGGAGAGCTTAACTTCATCTCATGGAACCAATCAAATTATGGTCTCCTTTCTCCTGAGAAAGAAAAGCGTCAGATAATCCAGAAAGCCAAGGGCAACATGTCCCCTCTCCCCTGCCATGTCCCTCTCCGAGGCCTGTCTCTTTAGAGGAAAGCTTTATAACTATCTCCAAGACTTCCTCACTATCAATGTGTTCTAGGTTTTGTTCAGCTGTACAGATGAATAATGAAATTTACACACTTATATAAGGATATATTATTAAATGCATTACAATATAACACAATAAACTTAAAAGTGAAACTTTCATTTCTCTCCTTTTGAGGAAATGTCCTGTGAAGAAGTCATAAAAATACTTAAAGAACTTTGGAGGACACCGACTGCAAACCTATCTTTTTAGAAATGAAAAAACTGGCCCCCAAAGTTGTTTAAGTGATTTATTTACAGTCACACACCTGTTAATGAGAGCAAACCCAGCCAAATTCCTGATCTGTAAGAATTAAACCACAGGGATAAAATGGTTCTAGCATTCTCTTGGCTTTCTCCATTGCCTCCTTTCTTTCTAGTCCCATTATTCATTCCCTTGTTTGATGAAAAATTAAGCAATTTTACAAAAGCTGTGAAAAGTGTTCCATTTTCTTCTCACCTCCTTTTAACAGTGAGGTTCATCTCTTTAAACAGAATTTCTTTCTAGAAACATGCCAGAAGTGCCTCAAAGCCACCTCCTTAGCTGGAGGCAGCTAGGATAGTACTCCATATGTTCATTCCCATGGGTTTCCATGGATTTATACACAGAATTCAGAATGCACATAGCTCTTGAAATAAATTCAGGTAAACAATTTGATTGTTTAACTAAAAGCAGTCCAATTTCTTTTACTAGGTCTCATTTTTATTTAGCTAAACATGTTTTAATTAATTTTCATGAATCTTAAAAAGTTGGTCTTGGGTTTAGGAGCATCAGCTGAGTGAAGTTCACTTATATAAGACTTCTTAATTTCTCTTCTTCTCTCTGCACCTCATAATCCACTGTCCCCATTACCCCTCTCCTATCTCCTTCATAGACATTCAAACACAACTGGAAAAATGGGATGATGTTAAGTTTCATGGAGATCGAAATAGCAAAGGGCATCCAATGGCAGAGAGAAAATCATGCTCATCTAGAACTGGATCAAAAGAACTTTTATGGTAAGATATTTTAATATCAGAAAATAGCTAATGGTGTGTCAGATGTATGGGTATTTCTCCTGTGTGCTGAAATAGCCAATGAGTTAAGTCAATCCAAATACTTGGTGCCATGTATAACTATGTATCAATGTTAATTGTTATGGCTTCTAAAACTAAGTATTTCATCTGAATTGTCAAAAATTAAGCCAAAAATGATTTGGGTAGACTCATAATTCAGTATTCAATATTTGTTCAGTATTTGTTGATAATTCTTTGAATGTGTAACTGAGCTGATCAATAAAAATAGGTTTATACATGTATGTACATATATGTGCATATTCAATATATTACATGAATGGTAGTTAAAGTAAATGTTTCTGGTTACACAGGTAACCTTTTCTGACTATCTTAATCATCACTGTCAGATAATGCACTAATTGAGAATAACCTGTGGATACCCATGAAAAAAATTGGCTACCTGAATTTTACCTTGCTTTTCGAGCTTCCTAAAGGACAGCATGTCTCATTCTTCTGTTGCCCCTTGCACATCTCCATTTATTATGACATTTCAAGTTCTATATAAAGATCAAATCACACCAGGAACACTTTGTGAGATGCTCCCCTCCCCAAAACACAAGGCTTTCAATAAAGCAGAACTGTTGGTAACAAAACTGGGATTGCATTTATTTACTGTTTGTACATAATTGAACCGAATTCTAAATCAGAGATAATTACAGCTAGCACATTGCAACCCCTTAAATTTCAAAAGTGGTCATTGTAATAAAATTATTATAGGAGTCATCTTTTTCATCAAAATTCTGATGAGAGCTTTGTTATTATGGCTCTCAACAATCCAAATGAACTAGGTTTCTTGACTGGTTTTCTAGCTGAGTTTGTTTCTCGGTATGCATTGATCTCCTTTATTCATCCCCTGTAGGTCCTCAGAGCACAGATCTCAACCAGAACTAAGCGGTGGAAAAAGCGCCCTGAACTCCGAGTCGGCTTCTGAGTTGGAATTAGTGCCTCCAACACAGGTAACAAAAGAGAAAGAGAGAGAGAGAGACATTCTTTAATGAGCCCACCTTTTTTTTTCTTTTTTCTTTTTTTTTTTAATTTAGAGAGTGTGTGTGTGTGGGTGGGGGTGGGGGGCAGGGGGAGAAAGAGAATCCCAAGCAGCCTCCACACCCAGCCAGAAGCCCAAATGGGGACTTGGCCTCACAACCCTGAGATCATGCCCGGAGCCAAAATCAAGAGTGTGTTGCCCAACCGACTGAGCCATCCAGGCGCCCCAGACCCACCTTTTCTAATAGATAATTTATATCTTAAATATTTTATTTAGATTTTCACAAAAATTTTGAAGTATTTTTTCTATATTCTGTATTTCATATGCTTTCTCACTCAATAATCTGTCTCGATGCCTGAGATAACTGATGATATATATATTATATATATATATATATTTGGCTAGTTAACTGATGATAAATATATATATATATATATATTTGGCTAGAACATGTCTTAATGAATTCACTATATATTTAGCACTTTTTCTTTTTTCTACCATTTACTTTTCCATCATTTTGCAATACAAAATCTCTTCTACTCCAGTATTAGCAGTTTTTATACAACAGAACACCAAGAAGAGGAACTTACATATTGAGTGTTCATTCACATGTATGCCCTGTGGACGCAGGACCCAGTACTTAAATATCAGGATCCTGACTGTCACATTAAAATAAATTTTACGTTAAGGAACAAATAATTACAGTATTAGCAGTAATGATAATACTAAGAGCAATCATTTGTGAGTAGCCACTAAGTATTAGGGACTTTACTACGTGCTTTTCATATGTTATATCTAATACTCAAATAATCCTATGAATTATTATTATCTTCATTTTTTTAAAGATTTTATTTATTTATTTATTTAAGAGAGAGAGCACAAGCCAGGGAAGGGGCAGAGGGAGACAGAGAAGCAGACTTCCCGTTGAGCAGGGAGCCCGATGCGGGGCTCAATCCCAGGACCCTGGGATCATGACCTGAGCCGAAGGCAGATGCTTAACTGACTGAGCCACCCAGGTACCCCTTATTAGCCTCATTTTAAGGATGCTTTAAAAAGTTTTGGTGAAGTCAAAATCTTTTTTCTGGGGTACCCAACTAATCACTGGTGGAAGAATGGTATGAACCAGACCTGTCTGTCCACTGCTTGACCCTCAACTCCAGTGTAACTGGCTTGTCTATAACTAATTATCTCTTTTGGGTAAGACTGTCAAGAAGGCCAGAGTCAGTCTCAATTTTTTTATTCGCTCAAACACTTTATAAGGGTACAGCCTTGATCTAAACCCACAAAGCTCTCTGAAGAAATGTGTCCACATTTATGCAGTCTACAATCTAGTTGAAAATAAGTGAGATGAAGTGAGCAAGAAAAATTTTCTTGAGTTTACTAGATCAGATATTGAAACTAAGAGAGGAGATATGTTATCTGAGGTGAAGCAAAGGGTTAATTATGATAATAGCAAATATTAGTGCTATGATAAAGTCTTCTAATACATGTTAGCTCATTTGATCCTGACAAATGGCTGTATGACGTCAGTTTATTTATTACCCCTATTTTGTAGATGGGAAACTAAGGCACAGTGACATTAAGAAAATTGTCTATGCACCCAGAACCAGTATGTGGCATAGAGAAGGAGGACACACACAGATAGGAAATGCTGAGGAAATGGAAGTCCTCTGGAAACTTTTCTAGGCCACTAAGAGAACCGCCCCCTCTCCCCATTTCTATATTCACTGGAGAGGGGTGGACATTACTGCTCCTAGGACTCTGCTGGAAGATAAGTCAACTCACTTCCAGAACAAATAACCCTGGGAAGCTTAATGAATTGTAAATGTAGCATGAAAATATATTTTCATCCTCTGTGTTCATTCTAAATGTATCTTTTTTAAAATTGATAACATTTATTAGAGAAACATTTCTTGTTAAGTGCATTAGAGATTTAGATTCAGCTAAAGTAATTGATACTGTTTCATAACCTGGATCCTTGGAACAATTTAATGTAGCAATAAAACATTTGTTTCTGCAGCGGGGCGGGGGGGTGGAGATTTGGCACAGGTGGGCTGTTCTACACAACACTGGAGGGGCAGAGGATCAGGTGGGGTCCTCGGTTGCCGTGGAGACCCACAATGCATTTGTCTTATTATTCCAGTGACTGCTACTCTCCTGCTGGTTGTCTGATTTCATCCCACCACATTGTCCTTCCACATGCCCACTGGTGTGCCTTTAAGCAAACACAATGTGCTCTGGACAATTTGCGTGAGATTCCCAATATTGTCCTCCAAAACACAGTTTAAAATGCACTGTCACAGTTCTCTGTCTAGATAAATTGTAGTGAATCCTTTAGAGGGTTACCAATTATTTGTAAAGAATTTGTCCCTTAATTTGCTTTTTTAAAAACACTGCATGTTGAGGCACCTGGGTGACTCCATTGGTTAAGCCTCTGACTCTCAGGCCGTGATCTCAGGGTCATGGGGTCGAGCCCCACGTCTGGCTCCTTGCTCAGCCTGGAGTCTGCTTGATATTCTTTATTGGTCCCCCTCTGTTCCTCCCCTTGCTCGCGTTCTCTCTAAAATAAATAAGTAAAAATTTTTTTAAAAACACTACAGTATGTTTATCAAGATTTGCCTAAACTAAGAAAATTCATAATTCCCTAGTTTTAAGTCCAGCCTATGGTTTAATTAGGACAATATAATGAATTGGGAATTTAATCATTTAAAATACTAAATCACTCAAATAAAACAGCAAGAGAATAGACTAATTGTAATAAAAGACAGAAAGGTGTTTTTACTGTTACAAACATACTGCCCTTAAATATGTGATCTCTCTAGGTAGATAAGATGAGGAAGGTGGTATAAAAATTCAACTTAAAACTGGCTTGCAGGGAAGCCTGGGTGGCTCAGTCGGTTAAGTGTCTGCCTGCGGCTCAGGCCATGACCCTGGGATTGAGCCCTGCATCAGGCTCCCTGCTCAGTGGGGAGTCTACTTCTCCCTCTGCCCTTCTCCCCTGCTCATGCTTGCGCTTTCTCTCTCTCAAATAAATAAATAAAATCTTTTAAAAATAAAATAAAATAAAACTGGCTTGTAAACTATTCAAGTAAACAATTTCAGCTTATCAAAACTTGTCACTGCTCCACTATTACACAGATGGCTCATGGGAAAATCAAGGAAATGTTTTCTTCTCTCTCAAGCCAACATAAACTATCTCGGGTTCAACAGGTGAGGAGCTATTTACAAGCCTTATTTAAAAATCACATTTCAAAAAAAAAGTCGTATTTCAGAATCACAAAGAAAATGGAGTGAATTCCTGTTAGCCTATTTTCTTTTCAAGATGGAGAAAAGGAAAAATGTAGTCTAGTCCTCTTTCACATAGTGTTTTAAATACACTAATCAGAATGGCAGGAGATTATAATAAATCATATAATCTCTATGTACTTAAGAATAAAGTTTCTTGATACTTTTGCAACTGTGTAATTAGTATTCCCTGGAGTTAATCATTTAAAGGAATCGTACAATCTGAAAAATCAGAAAACATTTGAAGAGTTGAAGAAAAACACAAGTAATGATATAAAATTAGCTTTTTCTAATATATGGGTTGAGATAGTGGTGAGGAAAAAGAAAATGAATCCAACTTTTGCTGGAAAGTGATGGTTCAAGCATTTCTTTGTCCAGTCTGGACACTGGAAGGAAAGCTCCAAGACAGGTTCTTGCCAACCTAAGTTGGACTTAATGAAAAGGTGCAGGAACCAGGCTCTCTAGTACGTGGTCATAGTCATGCAACTCTCTGATTTTGCTGACTTTGGCACAGCAAATGATTTTTTCCATACTGTCATAATTCCATCAAGTTGACAGCATCCCAAACCAGAACAACTGAGACTTTAAGATATAAGTGCAGATATGTTTTCTAAATTTTTAAAGGAGCAATAAAGGAAAGGCATGCTGATACCTGGCCAATTACATACTTCATGCATATAATAGGAGGTACTTCTAAGATATTTTTGAAATTCTCACAATAATCTTGGGAAGCAATATCTCCGTTTCTCACATGAGAAATTCATCTTAGAGACAATTAGCTAAGAGGCAGAAAAGCCAGCACTCAAATCATACCCATCAGCTTCTACAGCCCCTGTTCTTAACCACATACCACCTCATATCGGTCTCATCAAAGCTTATTCACCTGAGAGAACTCACAGACCATCTATTTCCCTTCTCATTTAAAACCCTGATTAGTACTTACATTTCTAGGATTAATATGAGTTAAGTGATTTTAAAGAGTATCACTTTCTTCCAGAAACGCTGTAAGATAAATTAGGACTGTTGTCAGATCTTCGGCCATACACAATTTTGTGCCTCCCCTCCCAGATTCCTTCTGAACCTCTTACTCTTTGAAATACTGATGGCTTGCATTTCATTCTATTTCAGTTCAGCAAATGTGATTGAATGTCTACTATCCACAAGCCATAAGTGAGGCAGTGAAAAGGTTAGAAAGAGGAATTCAATTATCAGAAGTATCAAGACCTTTATTAGACAGTACAATTAGACAGTACACTTTCTAAATACAGTTTTGCTTGTTGGAAGATAGTACAAGAGCCACATCGACATCCCTTTTCCCTTCCTGACCGTGCTCAGTGGGCTACCAATGAGGAAAGAAGCAAGCAAAGACGGAAGGAAGGAGCAAAGGAAAGGCAGCAGGGCAAGAACCACAGGAAGACAAGGAGGAAGGAAAGAAATCTGAAAGATCACTTTCAGGATAGTAGGCAATCTGCACACAGTAGGTACTCAACAAATACTTGTTGAAGTGGAAAAATAAGAGAATACTAACAAAAAGGAGAAACAACAACACTTGTCAAATTTAACAATTTGAAAGTAGTGGCTAATTAATAGTTAACTAAAAGACAGACAAAAATAAAAATAAAATGACAAGATTTTATTCTTTCATCATTTTTGAAGCTAGTTTCACAAATAATTTTTAGTTATGCATGGTAATGGACTGTCCATCTCTTTTCAAAATCAGCACTGATTTGCTTTGATGTTCTACAACATAGAATTTCATAGTAGGATGGAGATGGGAACCATATGCTGCCCACCTTGCACAAAGCTCTAGGAATTTGCTCTTTGACACATAAGGTACAACTTTTTTGTGCACATTCAACAATAAATGTCTGTGGACTGATTAAGAAAAAAAAATCACAACCCACTCAAAGAGGCACGAGTTTATCTGTACTATATAAGAATCCAACCAGTCTGCATTAACCACTAAACAAAAGTGCTCTAAACACAAATAATTCTTATTTTTTTGAAGATTTTATTTATTTGACATAATTTTTAAATGAATTTCTAAAGTCACACCTGATAAGTGCTAACCAGAAAGATAATGACAAAAGCCAAATTTTATAGCACTTACTGTGCACTGAGCATTTTGTGTGTGTATTTACATGAGTTATTGTACTTGATTCTTATACAGACTCAGCAAGTGAATATACACTTTGCAGATATGAATACTGGGGATTATAGAGATTAAGTAATTTGTCCAAATTCACCAGTTACTGTTAAATCCAATCAGGATTTGGCCCTAGGCAGTCTGACTCCAAAGATTATGCTTTTAATTACTGTGTTACATTGTTACCCAAAGTCTGCTAGTTGTTATATTTTTCTTTTCTATAGTTAAGCAGCACCCTTTTCCCCATCAATCTCTTCTGAAAAGATAATGAGCTTTTTAAACATGTGTTTTGGTGGGAGACCTCCAGCGGTAATGTAAAGGTAATTGTATAAGGGGTTATGAAGGACTGACATTGAGGTTAGCCAACAAGAGTTATGCTAGGACAACCACAGCCACAAATACAGTAATTTTTAAATCATAACTTTGATCACAATCATAATTTTGAATAAAGAGAATAAAACAATATTCTTGAAGTCATTCTTATCTTTTGCCTAGTGCTTATCATTCAGAACAATCAACAGCTGAGAGAACAAAATGCTTTCTTCTTCAGAGAATGTAATACCATAAAATCCAATTAGCTTAAACCAATTAAAATGGCTGTTTTTAAAGCCAAGGCCCTTCCAGGAGGTTGCTGTAACCGTAGAGCATTTTTCAAAATCATGCAATGAAGCAAAAAAATGCCTACATCAGAGCACATTTGTGAACTCCAGAGTTCCACTTGCAAACACATGATGTCAACATCTAATCAGAAGCTCTCAGAGTGAGGTCCCTCCCTTGGCAGTATCAGCATCACCTGGGAACTTGTTAGAAATACAGATTCTGGGCCCCCACTCCCACACCTGCACCTACTGAAGCGGAAACCCCAGGTGTGGCACGCAGCAGTCTGCTTGGACGAGATTTCCAAATGCTTCTGATGCCCACTCAGCACTTGGGAACTACTCTAATGATACAGCCACTGTGATCCAAAACAGCTGCGACCCAGATGTATGGCTCTAATTGTCTTGCTTACCACTCCTCTAGTTAAGTACGAAGCCATATAGTTCACCAGCATTGCTTATATATGTTCTCCCGTATGCCAGTCTTCGCTTACAACGAAATTAGATGTTAAAAAAAGAAAAAAGTCTTGGCTGAAAGGAAGTCTGTTCTTTACTATGTGTTACAATCTGTACTTCATCCTCAATCCTAAACCAGTATGTCTGGGTGTGCTACTAAGTTGCTGAAAAGTTTCAGAATCTTTTCAGTTGCCTGTTACTCTTGGCTTGGAAACTGCCTTTGTTTACATTCAGTGTGTTCCTATATTTTATAACATTTATCTTAGCTTCCTTGGACAAAATAAATGGCTTTCAAATGTGAGGTAGACAACACTTAGTAATAACTTAAGGCCTTTCTAACAGTGTGGGAAATAGCACTTACCTAAATAGTAATTGTTCCACCGAAATAAAAGTTCATTTGCACAGTAAGGTTCTATTTACACTTGGTGTTTTAAGTGGCAAAGAGAATATGACCGTTAAGTGTCGAATCCTGAGAGAGATTTTTGCCTCTTCTTCCTGATATATGGTGCCCTTTGCATCCTGTGATTCATAACCCACTTGGGTCGTGAAACATTGATGAAGGGAAGCCAGTGACAGTAATGGAGTTCTGTTAGGTCAGGCTTCACAGGAGAGACAGGTCGTATTTCCCTGGTGAAAAGTGCCTCTAATAAAAGGAGGTGCCTTGGGACAAAAATATTAGTGCTTTCTCTTTCTTCCCATGCCATTCATGGGTCATTTATGACATTATTATATAAATGCACAGTTCATTTCTTAGCATCTGTCCACATTTTTAAAATTTATTTATTTCATTAATGAGGAAACCAGCAGGGTGCCTGGGTGGCTCAGATGGTTAAGTGTCTGCCTTCGGCTCAGGTCATGATCCCAGAGTCCTGGGATCGAATCCCGCATCAGGCTCCCTGCTCCTTGGGAGCCTGCTTCTCCCTCTGCCTC